ACATTATCACAGGCAGGTGGCCAAAGTGCATCTTGTGGTTTTTCTTGGAACTAGAATTTATGTCCAGGCCACCTTTACTCTAAAATGGGGCCAAAATTTTAAAATGGAGTCACTCAGGTCTCACATCTGCAAGCAAACTTGGGGCAAATAAGAGAGAAAAGGACAAAAAAGCAAAAATAAAAGTATACCCTGTGTCTAGGAGACAGTGTAGGCTACTGTGAAGAGTCACAATAGTGGGCTCCTCCTGGCATTCGTGTCCTTATTTGTAGTCTACATCTTGTGAGATCCCTCGAGAAGTTCTACATATGTGGTCCTGGGACTTATTTGGCACTGTCCTGGGATTTTATAATTGACAGGTCCTGCTTATTTTTCCAGGGCTATAGGCACATTCTACTGTGCTTGGCTGTTATCTTTTATTACTTCTGGTTTAATTCTTTTATGGTTGGAGACCATGCTTTGCATTGTATAATGTCTTCTAATTGTGAAGCGTTGTTTATTGGCTTAAATTCGGTTTATCTGCTCGGTGGCGCTCTGTGCACTCCCCGCTGTTGCTGGGCAGGGAGTGTTCTGTAATGCCGCTATTTAATCATGTTCTGTTCTTTTATATCATTGCTAACTCTCTGTCAACTGCTTTTATAACCAAAAAGGAATGTTAAAACCTCTTAATTGTAATTGTGGAATGGTCTTTTTTCTTTTAGCTTTGTCATATTTTTTTGTGTGTCATTTGCACCTCTGATATCAGGTACATTGGTGGATAAAATTACATCTTTTGATAAATTGACCCTTTTATTGTATGTAGTATCTTTAGTTTAGTTTAGTTTTGTTTTCTTTGAGGTGCTGGTGATCAAACCCTGGTCCTCAGGCATGCAAGGCACTTTCTCCATCACTGAGCTGTATTCCCAGCCTGGTAGTGTCTTTTTTTTTTTTGATGTGGTAAAAAACAAATTTTAACATTGTAACTTTTTTGGAGGGTGGTGAGGATGAAACCCAGGGCTTTATATATGCTAAGTACGTGCTCTACTGCTGAGCTACTCCCAAGTGCACGTGCATCCACATCCTAACCATTTTCAAGTGTTCAGTACAGTCACGTTAATTACGTGCACATTGCAACAGATCTCTGGAGCTTTTCTGTTTTGCAAATTGAAACTCTACCCTTTGAACAACTCCTCTTTCCCACATCACCAGCACTTGACAACCATCAAGTTGCTTTCTGAGTTTGAGTGTTTTAGGTGGCTCAGTAAGTGGAATCAAGTAATCTTTGTCTCTTTGTGTCTGGCTTGTTTGACTTTGTATAATGTCCTCGGGGTTTATTCATGCTTTAGCATGACAAGACTTTCTTTGGGAGGAGTGAATAATATTCCATTATATATAAACTACATTTTCTTTGCTCATAGTCAGTGGACATTTACGCTGCTTCCACCTCTTGTGTATTGTGGATAATGTGTTGAATGTGGGTAGGCAAATAGTATCTCTTTGAGGTTCTATTTTTAATTCTTTTGGACATCTATCCAGAAGTGGATTTCTGGATCTTATTGTAACTCTGCTTCTAAATTTTGAGGAATATTCATATAGTTTCCATTGCAGCTACACTATTTTACTTTCTTATTGACAATGTGAAGGGTTTCCAAGTATTCCCATCCTTGTGTGTGCACACTCACATGTACTCTTGCTCTCTCTTTTCCTCCCTCCCTCCCTTCCTTCCTTTCCCATAGGTAGGATATCTCATTGTTTTTATCTTCATCTCCCTCATGATTAGTGAAGTTTACCATGATTCCATATACTTGTTAGCCATTCATATATCCTTTTTAGAGAAATGTCTGTTCAAGTTCTCTGCCCATATTTTAGTCAGTTTGCTTTTTATTATTGATGTGTAAGACTTTTTTTCCTTTCTTTTCTTTTTTTTGTTGTGTTGGGGATCAAACCCAAGGCCCTTGGACATGCTAGACAAATGCTCTGCCACTGAGCCACACTCCAGCCCCAAGTTGTAGGAATTCTGAACGTTCCCGGACATCAATCCTTTATCAGATATATGATTTGCAAATCTTATTTTCTCTCATTCTCTTGTTTGCCTTTTCACTCTGTTTTTTCTTTTGCTGTGAAGAAGTTTTACAGTTTGGTATAGCCCCATCTTCCATTTTTGCTTCCCTCCAAGTTGTTACATCTATCAGTAACTTGTTCCTTTTTATTGCTGAATAGTAGTCTGAATCTCTGCCTTTAATTGAGGATGTTTGGCCCATTTATAGTTAACATGATTATTGATAGAGTTGGGTTTAAATCAGCCAGCTTGCTCAGGAGTCAGCCCACTGTGACTCAGGGACTAACGTACCCACCAAATGTTTTATTTTTAAAAATACAATTTTATTGGAACACAGCTGTGCTCATCATTTATTCTTGTTTATGGCTGTTTTTATGCTACAGTGGCAGTGTTGAATAGCTGCAATGGAAACTGTATGGGTCACAAAGCTAAGAGAGTTTACTCTTTGACCCTTTATAGGAAAAAGATTTTGATCCTCAGCTGTGCTGGTTTTTTGTGGTTTTTTTCCTATTTGTTCTACTTATTTATTCTTTGTTGATTTTGAAGCAGAAATATGAATTTAAAAGAGTTGTTATGGTGGTTGATGCCTATTACAATATCTGTAAATGCTTCCTTCAGTTAAAATTTTAGACCTGAAAGCAGATGTCTGTTCGTCAGCCTCCTGTCACTATAATGAAGTATTTGAGATGATCAGCTAGTGAGGGCAAAAGATTACTTTGGCTCATGGCTCAGAGGTTTCAGCCAGAACAGCTTAGCCCCGGTGCCTCTGGGCCTGCACGGCAGAGGGTCCCACTGCCCCCTCCAGGGAGCCTCTGCTTCTGATCTACAGCCTCCTAGCAATCCCCTCTGAAAGGTTCCTGCACCCGCAGTAGCGTGGTGGGCTGGCCATGCAGCCTTAATAAATGGGCCTTGGGGCAGCATGGGGACCAAGCTGTAGCAGTGTCTGCGATCTGTTTCTGTTGTGTGTACCAGTTTTTCACAACTAGTAACTTCCAGTGACACATTTATCACTTCACAGTTCCTGAATCAGAAGCCTGGGCATGGGTTAATTGGGCACCATGCTTGGCCCTCACAAGCTGAAGGTGAAGGGTTAGCTAACTGTGTTCTCACATGGCGGCTCAGTTCTCCTTCCCATGTGTCTGCCTATGCTATAATCTTATAGAGATCTTTTTGGCTCCTGTCAAAATCTGAAAATTTTGAGGCCAGGGATTTAGCTCAGTGGTTCTGGTGCCTGCCTCGCAAGCTCAAGGTCCCGAGTTCGATTCCTAGTACCAAAAAAGAAAATCTGAAAATTTTGAAATTAACAATAAGAAAAGCAAGGGGACTAAAACTTAAATTTCTAAAACTGCATAATATGCACAATTTCCTACTTCAAAAGCACTAGTATTTGCAACGTGGTTCACAGTTTCCTAAACACTTATAAATGCTTAGGAATAAATAAATACTACTATATTTCATGTAATTCTCAGGATAGTTCTGTAGGTGGACAGATATCATTGTTTATAGATGAAGAAAGTGAGAGCTAGTAAAGCCTTCTAAAAAGATCAAACAGCCAAAGTTGTGGAATAGCTGCTTTACCTTAAATCTTGTTTATATGACCAAAGTATAATTACAGCATAGAATTACTGATGGTGTGGATATTTATCAAATTGCTTTGATAATGACATGTTTGATTTTATATGTAAATACTAATAAATTTTATGTAAACATGCAAATGAAATGAGGTCTTCATATTACACTGCCATAGCTCCTCCTATGCCTGGTTGTAGATTATCACTGATTCTTAGAATACTTCTGTAAGTGGTGTCTCCATCTCACAGTAGAGATAATTGAGGTTTAGGTGGTTGCCATTTGCCCCAGGGTCACGTGACTGGTAAATGGTGGAACCATGCTCTGACTTCAGAATCTCACACAAACCTAATTCCTTCAGAATAACCCTTTAAGTTTTTCCTTTGCATCACTGAGTAAAGTTTGAAAACTTAAAATTTGAAGTTCATAGTCTCTCTTTCTGAAGACAGGGTACTCCATATTTCAAACTCATGTGCTTTTTGAGATGGTCACTCTTTAAGTTGCCCAGGCTCACCTCAAACTCAAGAAATCTTGTGGCTCAGTCTCTGGAGTGCAGGAAGTAGAGGCATGTACCAGCCGCCATGCTGGCTGGGCCACATGCTTTTGAATTGTTCTCAGAATGAACTTTAAAGAAATTCTTTTGCTGATGTGAAGTCGCTGGATGAAGTGAATTATGTGATGTTGAGCATAAAAATGAGTTATTTTTCCAATAATGCTTGATACGGTTATTTTACATTAATAGTATTAGTAAAGTATAGTTACTAATGATAAGTTTTTCTTTTGGTTTGTCTTTATGTGTGCTTTTCAGTTTCAGCAAATTGTACAGTGGCGGTTGATTGTATTTTGAAAACTGAAAATTAGTGGCTGCTACCTTGTCTTCTCACCTTTTAACAAAGAATAAATGGGGTGTTTGAGAAGATAGCTAAATTAAAAGAAGAGTTTTACAAATGGCTTCAGAATCAGTGACTGGGAAACCAGCTCGGAATCACTTCCCAAAGGGGAAAAAGCAGCAGCACCCGCCAATAAAGAACAGATCTTCAGTGAGTGACTGTGACAGAGAAGACTCCTTTATCTTTGAAGCAAATGAAGCCTGGAAAGATTTCCACAGCTCTCTTCTTCGATTTTATGAAAATGGAGAACTCTGTGATGTCACACTAAAGGTGAGACCGCCTTTTGTACTTTCCTGAGCCCCCTCAGTGGGTTGTGAAGCAACAAGGGTTTATGTAATCACACATGTCAACATTTTGGTGCTATACATACTCATTAAGGTTAGAATAATTTTAATCTCAGTCTCATTTTATTGAAATGGAAAGAACAAAAGGGAGGGTTAATGAAGAAAGATTAACATGAAATAATGTGCTAATTTGATGTTGCTATTCATTAACTCCTATTTCATTTAATTTCTGAGAGTTCTGGGACCCTAGAGCAACAAACTGTTAATAAATTAATGTTCACCATGTAATCTTTCAACTTGTGAATTAAAGAATCTTAATTTTTTACTTGGTTAAAAGTCAAGAATTTTGTTTTACTGAACATCACTATTCTGGTAGTTTAACCTTCACTTATCATCTGTTGAGTGAGATTTTTAAAAATCTATGTCTGATCATGAAATACAGATATTCCTCATTTCATGCTCTGTTCCTGTGACTAGGTTGATATATGAATTGGTCCCTAAATGAGGAATTATGTATAGCATGTATACTACAATATTCAGAACAAACAAATGGCCAAAGGAAATTCCAGTTTGATGATTTTGCTTTTATTGCATAACTCTTACATGCAGTATTATAATATATAACAGAACATAAAACCACGGTACTATCCAATACAATCAGCAAAAATTACAGTACTGTATAAGCAAGGTATACTGTGCAAAAAAAGACATTGAGACTCTATAAACAAGATTTACAGACCTGTACAAAAAAAAAGACAGATTCTAAGTCTGAATGGTGCACCTGGGTCATTACCACACAGTTGTTACACATGTGGGTCGTCCCAAAGAGTATCTGTAGTCTATTTAGACTTGAGTGAAAAGTCTTCAGTGAGCTTTTTCTGGTCTCCAGGATTATGTTGCCTTGCTAAACAGTCTTAATAACATTGGAAAGGGGATAGAGCAGTGTGGACAGCCTGTGTTCTAAAGGTTTCCCACACATTAAAGCGCTTTCTTAGTCTCATCTCTACACGATACTCACTTTTGTTTGGTGATTCATGTATGTCCATGCATCATTCTCCACATGTGATTTCCCACTTTGGGATCTTTTCAATTTTGTGGTCTGCTTCTGATGACACAAGTTCTTAGAGCTCACGGTGTCTTAGTAATGAATTGAGGGTATAATTGGAGAATCAGATCAGAGGACTTTCCTTTTTTTTTGGTACCAGGGATCGAACTCAGGACCTTACGCTTGGGAGGCAGATGGCGAAACCACTGAGCTAAATCCCCAACCCCAGAGGACTTTCAATAATAATCAATAAACTGAAGACACAGGGCTTGAATTTCAGGCCTAGAATGTCCAGGAATGTAGTGTTCAATTGTGGATAACTATCTATATTCTTCTTCCTGAAATTTATGGTGTTCCTAAGTATTTCTAGGCCCCAAAGTATTGAGATGGAAACCATTATGTTTCTATTAGCTCCAAATGAAATTTAGCCCAGTATGTATTTTAGTGAACATTTAAGCTCTCTGATCCATGTAGTGTATTATGTTTAATCTAATGCCATTGTTCTACTTTTCTGTTTTGTTTTGTTTTTTTCATACTGGGGATCGAACTCGGGTCCTTTTACTTGTGAGGCAGGTGGCAGAACCACTGAACTCTCTGGCCCACTACTTTTCAATCTTAGTATGAAATTCAGTAACCTATACTGTCTTTGGCAAAAACAAAAAAAAATATAAAATAGGTTATTTGAATTTAAAGTATTACTAGGTCAACATACCAATGATTATATATGGAAAATATTTAGATAGAATATTGTTAATTTTACAGATTTTTTAATTGGATTTCAGAATACTCTTAAAAAGTATGTAAACTTTCTTAAGTGAAAGATATGGGTGTAACTATTTTAGGGGAAGTTGGACAATGTCATCAATAGGTTAAAATGAAAAACTTGAGAATCTGCAGTGGAGATTAACTGTAGTATATTTGAAGCAGTAGCAGAAGTCATTTGGGAACAAGAAACAGTCCACTAAGGATTTACTGTTGTTGTTTTTTTATTTCCTGAACTGTAAAATTAGGATGATGGATAATTTTTTTGTGAGGTATAAATGAATTCTTACATGTAAAGCCCTTAGAACTGCTTGGCACATATTACATAATATCAGCTATATGATTGTTATATATACTGGTAATTACTCCAAGAGTATCAGATAACTCTGCTGTGCTCTATTCTGTTCCTGTTTAATAAGAAGGAATTACAATTCAGTCTTTTAGCAGGACTGTTATTGGCTTTGTTTCTTAATTCTAATTGAACATTTCTTCCACTTTCAGAATTCAAGTATTACAGAAGAACTAAACCAAATAGGAATGTAGATAATTTGTAATGGTCTGTTCAGTACTTTTTAGATTCATATTACCTTGAACATTATTTCTTAATGTAAACTCATCTTTCTTTTACTAGTATGTTTCCTTTGATTATTATTGTTTTTAGGACAAATACTTTAGAAACACAATTATCATAAAATTTGCTATAGTTTTCACATATAAGGCCATTAGCCCATTTTAAAATTCTGAAGTTAACACCTATTTTAGAAATAGCAAGCTCACTTAGGAAATATTTAGTAAGGTCACCTAGGAAGTGAAGAGCATGTATAAATGTGCATACTATATATGCCTTGAGAGAATTTGAAGGTTAGCCAGAGGTAAGCCCCTTTCAGAGGTAGGTAGGCCCATTAACACAATTTAGTGATGTGTCAGTTTTGTGGTATTTGTACAGAAGCATAGGAAAAGGTCTATTATGTCTGAAAGGTTATTGGAAAGACTTTATGTAGGAGATAATATATTACCTTTAAGTCATTCCAGAGAGATGGAAAACTTGTTAGATATTATTCTCATTGGTCAAAAAAAAATTTTTTTTTCTTTTTGAGACAGGATCTTACTTTGTTGCCCAGGCTGGGCTTTGAGTTCTGGGCTAAAGTCATTCTCCTGCCTTAGCCACCTGAGTAGCTGGGTTTACCTAGGTGCGCTGTCATGCTGGAGAGGGAAAATATTTTAAAATTACATATTCAGTGGCTGTGCTAAAATTATATATGGAAAGCTTCTGCTTTAAACTTTTTATTGTTTGTGCACTGGAGCTTGAACTCCTATGGTAAGCACACTGTCTACCACTGAGCTATACCCCAATCCCGGGGGAAGATTTAAGACACCAGTTTTTTGGAAGAAAGGGTGGGGGGCCTTGTCCCGAAAGGGTTTTGCATAGCACTCATTGCTTAGGTTACATATTATAAGGTCAGTGAAAAAGCATTCACAAAGGTGCTTTACTCGCATGCTAGGTAATTTGAGGAAATGTCATTCTCCTTATAAAGATCATGGTTAATTTTACTTGAAGAAGGTAGTGAGATGAATAGGGGGCACTGCCCCTACGCACAATTATTTACTGTCAAAACTTCCACCTAATCAGATAAGAATAAGCGCTCTAATGATTGTAGGAAAACAAAATTTGTGAACTGCATTATGGGAGTGTACTTTCCAAGAGGTAGAAATGGTCAAATTATTCCATTGTAACAGTTAACTCCTAGGGGAACAGAGGCAGTCTTGGTGTATTTGTGCCGTCATAACAATACCATAGACTTATTTCTCATGGTTGAATAGCCTGGGAAGCTCAAGATCAAAGCACTGGCAGATTTGGTGTCTAGTGAGGGCTGCCCTGCCTCTGAGGTGGCACCTTCCTGCCACATCCTCCAGCAGGAAAGACCCTGTCCTTGGAGGTGGCAGACAGATGGATGGAAAGGGCCTCATCTGTTACCTTCAGCCCTGTGATGTGATATTGCCCATTTCTGAGTCCAGAGCTCTCATGATGTCATCACTTCCCCAGCAGCCCCACCTCTTCTGTCACCAGCATGAAATTAAGTTTTAACGTGAATTCAGAGGGACTTTGAGACCTTAGTACAGGAATAATCTAACAAAATGAACATGATAATGGAGAAAGTAATCTTGTATTTATATGTTAAGAATTCTTTGACATTCTATGTTAAATGATGATCACCTTTACTTTTGCCTGTTCAGTATTATGATCTTTTTCATGTTGCTTAGAAGGTAGTATATAAACAAATAAATATGTAAATATACATATTATAATATATATACTATAATATATAATAATAAATAAATATGTATATATGTATATATATATTCCTAGATCCTTGTTTATTTGGTCACCCAAATGCTCTCTAAATTGTTTTTTTCTATTATGTAGGATTTTATTTTTTTTATTTTTTTTGATACCGGGGATGGAACTCGGGTCCTTGTGCTTGCGCAGCAGGCAGGGAAACCACTGAGCTAAATCCCAGGCCCATATGTAGGATTTTAAATGGATGGAGTATAAGGTTAGTGAAGATTGTAGAACGGCAGCTATCTGTGGTTATGGTAATTCAGTACAAATCAAGATATTATCTTGAGTCTAATAAAGTACATCTGTCTAACCCTTCTTCTGTTTTAGGCCTGGGCAGTAAAACACACTTTTTTGGGCCCAAGTAATTAAAATTAGTGGATTATTTTTTAAAAGTGCCCAACTGAGTTAAAAGAGCAAATTTATAAGAGATTAAAGTGAGAAATTGGTATATAATGTACAAACCTCCTTTATGAAAGGAGATTTGGGTAGAAGTTTCTTTTGTCTTTATTTCTGTTAGACTGTTTTTCTGCACTTTTATTTCAGTGTAGTCCTTACACTCTTGGCATGAGTTGCTCTTAAGTAGAATAACTAGAACATTTCAACCTGATATACTTAGTTTTTGTTTGCTTTAATTTAAAAATTTTTATTATGTCCATACATGATTTTAACAATCTTTGTTAGAGTATAAAATTATTACTTAGAAATGAAGTAACTGATGTTAAAATAACTAGTGCACAAAAAAATAGTTCACAGAATGACCACACTTCTGAAAAGTACTAGATAGCTAAGAAATAAAATTAAACCAATTAAAATTGTTCACTTGTCAGCATGTTGATTATTTAAAACATATATTTATTGCTTTTGAAATTTTGATGAAGTGAGTATTCCCAAACATTGTTTGTAGATGTGTAAATTGGTTCAGTGTTTTTGGCAGGCAGTCTTGTGTTATATGTGCTCAGCTGTAAAAAGCTTATTTTTTTTGCTCATTAATTTTGCTTTTCAGATTTTACCTCAAGGAAATATTCTGAAATGCCAAAAATCACTTTTCTCTAAGATGTTTGTATTTAAAATATGGAAAAATTAAAAATAATCTGGAAAATAAAAAATAACATCAGGATGCTATAGAGAATATTATGCTATAGAGAATAGCATACATGAAATCAATAAGCAGGAGAATACAGAAGGTTTCAGAAAGTTGATAAAAGATTACATATTAAGGAATATCTGGGGCTGGGTATGTAGCTTAGTGGTGCAGTGCCTGCTTGTGGCAAGCTCGAGGGCCTGAGTTTGATTCCCGGTACCAAAAAAGAAAAAGGAATACCTGAGTTACTTTTTAGAATCCGTACAAAAAATTTGGAAGCAAACACACCAACAGATTGACAGTCATTGTGGTGTTGGTGTGGTTTCTTTGTGCTTTCCCTGTGCTTTCTGGATTTCACATGTTGAGCATGTATGTAAGTCAGGAATAAACAGCCTTAGAAAAGGAAGTCACCTTTACAGTTGGTGAATAGACAGGTTCGTCCTGTAAGTCAGAATTGATAGTTAATGGAATGTTAATGATTTTTGTTAATTTGTATTCTCTTTGTGTCATTTTTAGTTCATTTTTACCATACTCAGCAGATCACTTACTGTTTTTAAATAGATCTCCACTGAGTCAGTTATATAATTTTTCTGCTTGGACTGAAGGACTTTGCTCTGTGCCTCTTTTCTCCCCACAACATCATCTGGTGAAAGCGAAGCACATGACTGACCCAAAAGCCTTGGTTTTGTTGTGTTTTGATCTATGGTGGCCAGGATATGAAACATTACTCAAGGTTTTGGTTAACAGTTTGTATTTTGAGCTTTTTTTTAAAAAAGTGGAATCATTCTATTAAAGTTGATATTCTCCATATTTTACTACTCAAGTTTAAGGGATGGCTTTCCCTTAGTATCTTACTTTTATGTTCACTGTTCTAAGAAGAAAAATGTAAATTAGAAAATTCATTAATATGAAGAACACATACATGTAATGTAATATTTGTGACTTAAATCACAGTTATGTGTAATATTTTGTAGCTTGTGTATTTTTCTTTCTTTCTTTCTTTCTTCCTTCTTCCTTCCTCTCTCTCTCTCTTTCTTTCTTTCTTTCTTTTTGGTACCAGGGATCAAACTTGGGTCCTTGCACTTGCACAGCAGGTGGTGAAAGCACTGAGCTAAATCCCCGGTTCTTCATCCAGTTTTAAACACCAAGTTTGTGTATTTTTTGTCTGTAGACTTTGATTCTTTTCTGATGAAATGTCCTTGGTAATTAATAATTATTTTTACATACCAAAGGAAAAAAATGTAGAAATAAAATTTTAAAGAAGGTAATGAAATTATGTAACATCAAGGAAGAATTGGTACATTAAAAAGTCAAGTTTTGGGATGTTCATATTTCATATATGTGGCTCACATATTCTTAAAGATGGATATTCTAAAAGGGTACATGGAAATCTTTGTGTCCGTCTGAGAAGTAATAGCCACATTCCAATTTATTTGAATCAAGAAATTAGAGTTGTAGTGGGACAAAATACTGTGCAAGTCAACGTGAAAATAACTTGCTGGCCATTCATTGATTTGTATAATTTGGGTGTGAAGTCAGTGTTAAAATAATGGTTCTCTGGAAATTGCAGAGCCCTGTTGTATAGTACTATTGTGTAATAGAGTTTTGGCAAGTTATGTAATTGAATAGATTTGTCATAAGAGATTTACTAATATTTTCCTTCAGAATGATTTCCATTGAGGTCATGTTCAGATAATTTTTAGAATATTCTAGGTGATTTAAAATTTCCCAGTATCAGATTTTAGATCCCATTGTGGGGCTGAAGTGAACTTGAAAACATGTCAAGCTTTATGTTGTAGTCTGTGTTACAACTTAGTCTCAGTAGAATCTAATTCCTACCTAGTGAATTGTGTTTAAAAATTAAATAGAAAAGGAACAATCGTTTTATACTTGTTGAAATAAGTGATATTTATTCTTGGGTGAGAGACATTTATAAGCAAAATCCTTTGTACATTATAATGTTCCTCAAGCCTCTTTAGATCTTATTCTAAAATTGTCAAATACTGACACATAAGCTTGTTATTATAATCAAAACACTAATTGGAAAATTGTTAAAAGTGCTATAATTATTACTTCTTAATTGATTATTTATGACAGTGTGCTAGGAAGACTGGATAACAACTGTATTAAAAAGAAGAGGCTGGGAATGTAGCTGTGGTGGACCACTTGCCTAGCATTCAGGGGACCTTGGGTTCAGTCTCTAGCACCATGAAGAAGGGGACAGGGGCATAAAAGTAATAGAAGAAATACATGAAATAAATACATAATACTAAAATTTCCATTTCATACAATGACATAATACCTAAGGGAGAGATCATAAGACTGATTTGATTGTATAAAAATCTATAGAAAGAGAATATTTACAAGCAAAGTATTAAAAAGAAAATGAGCTTGAAATATATATATAACAAATGCATAAAACTCTACATGTATATATTCTTACAAATAACTAAGAAATAATCCATAGTACATAGGAGAAATACAATAGCTTAAATGTATTAATGATTTAATTTTAGTAAAAGAAAGATCAGCAGTAAGATAATATTTTCATTCATCAAATTGGCAACAGTTTCTTAACAAGTTAACGCCTAGAGTATGGCACAAATGCAGAAAGTAGCACAGAAATGGACACTTTGGCACCACATGGCCATATTGAACCTACCTTTGAGATAGTATTTTTATTTATAGAAGTTTGTCTATGGAAAATAATAAAGAATGTGGAATAAGATTCAGTTACACAGTTCACTACTGTGTGTTAGTAGTGGCACATAGTTGGACACAATCTAATGATTGAACAATTAAGGTGGTAAAATTTCAGTGTTTTACTTTTACTGCTTTTATGTGAAATATATCATCTCAATATAATTTAAACAGAAAAACCTCAGCGGAGCTCCTAATAAATATAACTAAATATTATTTACTTTGTGTTTCTTTCTTTTTTTTTTTTTGGTACGGGGATTGAACTCAGGACCTTGCACTTTCCAGGCAGGCGCTATGCCACTGAGCCAAATTCCGGCCCAGTGTTTCAATTTTCTGATTGGTAAATTGTGACTAGTAGTAGTATCTGTTCATAGAGGTGCTGGGCTAATTTGGTATATGAGAGACACTTAAAAAATGCCTGGCGTATAATAAATGCAAAATGATGTGTGCCATTATTTCCATTAATTCACAAAATGCTCCTGAAAAATGAGATAACATTGAAAAGTCATAGTTCATTGTATAAACATTGTAGATATAGATAAGTGGCCAATTGGAAGATGAAAACTGCCGGAGTCTGAGAAACTGGACAGACTAAAGCAGAGCTAGCAATGCTTTTTCACCTTGGTTTATTTTAATAGGTTGAGCTGTTTGTGGTAAAACATATAACTTACTGTTAACTTTGTGAGATCTGAAATGTTTAGTTATCAAGCCGGATTCCTTACTAGACCAAATCTTTTGTCTTTGAAATGTTGCAATATCTTGATGTTTAAAGGAATATTTGTTAAAATAGCTTGAGTTTTCATCTTGTATCTATCATCTTTCTTTAAAACTTTTCCCCTATAGTTTCAATTCTGCATGTATTAGGCTTCTAGAAATAAGTGTGTTAAACTGAAACAACTTGATGGCAGAAACTTCACAGGGCTTGTTTTCCAAAGAAAAATATTGTTTAGAGGAATAAACTAGACTTGCTAGGTTAAAAAGAAAAGAAAGAAACTGGCCAAGATTGAAAGTAAGTGACCAAAGGATTGCATTATTAAAGCAGTACTCTAAATTATCTGGAGGTTTTGTCCCTTCTGCAGTATAAGCTCTGTGCTGATCTGAAGCTGATTTTTTATTAAAATTCGGTTCTTGGTTGTTTTGAACAGGTTGGTTCAAAGCTCATCTCTTGTCACAAGCTGGCATTGGCTTGTGTTATTCCCTACTTTAGAGCCATGTTTCTCTCTGAAATGGCGGAAGCCAAGCAAACATTGATTGAGATTAGAGATTTTGATGGCAATGCAATAGAGGATCTGGTGAAATTTGTCTACTCTTCACGGCTCACATTGACTGTGGACAATGTCCAACCTCTCTTATACGCAGCCTGCATTCTGCAGGTTGAACTGGTGGCCAGAGCTTGCTGTGAGTACATGAAGCTGCATTTCCATCCCTCCAACTGCCTAGCAGTGAGGGCCTTTGCAGAAAGCCACAACCGGATAGACCTCATGGACATGGCCGACCAGTATGCCTGTGAACACTTCACCGAGGTTGTGGAGTGTGAGGACTTCGTGAGTGTGTCACCCCAGCACCTGCACAAGCTCCTGTCCTCCAGTGATCTGCACATTGAGAATGAAAAGCAGGTCTACAGTGCTGCCATCAAGTGGCTTCTTGCCAACCCCCAGCATCATTCCAAGTGGCTGGACGAAACCCTGGCACAGGTAGGGCTGCAGGGAGATGCTACATGGATGTGAAAGGACACGAAAGCAACTCAGCATGTTTCATTTATTACAGAAAGTGCACTTTATTTGATGGAGAGAAACGGTTGATGTGTATGATGATGAAAACAGCTGTAACTCTCTTCCCTGTTCTTTTCCTATACTGTTGAAAGATAGTCTGCATATGTCACATTTTTAACCTGAAGGTTTAAAATATTTCCTTGAGATTGTAGTAATGAATATTGTATTTATGGTAATAAAATTAATCTAAAGTAATATAATTTATAACTTTCATAATGAAATTTCTAAAGTATAGGGGCCAGGGATTTAGCTCAGTGGTTCCTTTGCTTGCCTTGCAAGCACAAGGACTCGAGTTCGATCCCTGGTACCAAAAAAAAAAAAAAAGAAATTTCTAAAGTTTAATGAATTACCTTGCTCATGAAAATATAGTTATAATGGATATAGACTTATTCTGGAAAGAACCATAAGACATCAGGCATCACTTTCTGAGTTTGTTATTCCCTAACCAGTTTGGCTTTAACCTTGAATGTATTTATTATTATTATTTTTAATTGTTAGTGATTTACTTGGACAAGGAGCTGACAAATAGGCCCTTTAGGGTCTGTGTCTTGTTTTTTCCTTTATTTTCTTTCCCCCTACTTCCCCTCTCTACTCCCCGTCCCTTCCCTCCTTTTCCCTCCCTCATGTCATTTATTTTGAGGAAATTATACTACTTAAAAGATGATTAATCCTATTTACTTATTTTTTAAAAATTAAGTACTTTGTTAAAACTTGGAACTTGATAGTTATGCCAGTTTTTAATAATTTCTCAAAGCATTATAAAAATGTTTTAATTCAGAACAAATTTGTTTATAATTAATTACTAGTGGTCTCATTTTAGATATTTATAGGTAGAGAAGTAACCCTTTTCAAAGTATGATTATAATTAGACTGATATTTTGTAAGTGCATATACCAGTATTTTTGTTTTGTTTTTGCAGTGAGTGCTGGGCATGGAATCCAGGGCTTGCACATGCTAGGCACATGCTCTGCCACTGAGTTACACCCCCACCCTAGATTACTTTTTTTTTTTCTTTTTCTCTTTTTTTTTCCTTTGGTACCAGGGATCGAACTCAGGACCTTGCACTTGTGAGGCAGGCAGCAGCACCACTGAACTAAATCCCTGGCCCCCTAGATGACTTTTTAAAAGAACGTACTGCTGTGATAATGAAGAGCAAACTATTCCATTACTATTTATATTTGACATTGCTACTATTCATGATCTTAGGTTCGTCTGCCATTATTGCCAGTTGATTTTCTTATGGGTGTAGTGGCAAAAGAACAAATTGTCAAGCAAAATCTGAAATGTAGAGATTTATTGGATGAAGCAAGAAATTACCACCTTCATCTGAGTAACAGAGCTGTACCTGACTTTGAGTACTCCATCCGGACTACCCCAAGGAAGCACACTGCTGGTAATGACTCAACTTTTATCAGTTCTCCTGGAAGGATCTTTGATGTATTTCAGGGTCGTTTATTTATGTCTAAACTTAGTTGTAAGATAATTTGTATCTGATTAAAAAACAATTGGCAAATTTATATGTTCATAATTCTTACTATATATGATGTAGATAGTTTTACCAGTAAACCAATTTTTGAAAAGCCTTAACAGATAAGTCCTATGCTGTCTAAAGAGCCTGCTGATATCTGTCCTCCTTAGAGCTCTTCCTTGAGTCTTCTAGGTAGAATTAACTCCTTTGCTAGTGCCTTTGGAGCACTTTGTTTGAATCTGAGTTCTTCAAAGACAGGTAAGTGTCTTACATAGGTTCATATCCTTAGTGCTAGAGTGGAGCTTGACACATATTACATGTTTAAATGTTTGATTTTTCATTTTACCAAATCAAAAAAAGGCACTAAACATATCTACAGTTTCTATAATGGGCCATATCAGACTCTTAGAATCTAAGGTCTAGCATTTTAGGAGACATGGAGCCATAATTTTTAAATTTTGGCTAATTTGCCAAATTTTTAGATTTTCTACTTTCTCAGGAGAATGGTTCATGTTTATTTACATTTTTTGTATTTATACAGAAAAACACATTTGAGGCATGAAATGATGATGTAAGTCTTACAGTTCAGGAAGGGGAACTTGGAGTAGAGACGTTCTCTGATTGCTGCTCCTTCATAGAGTTATTTCATAATGAGATCTGTGATAGCAAGGGAAGAATAAAAAGGGCAAATGAGATTTTCTCTGGGTAGTATAAGGAAAAGCTGAAGATAAAATTCTTCAAATCCAGTTTGTTTTAGTGTTGGGGATTGAGCCTATGGCTTCATAAAAGTGAGGTAAGCACTCTCGAAATTCATATTTGAATCCAGCACCTTAGTAACCTAAATTGTATGCGAGAATATGCTAGATACATATATAATCTCACGTGATTACAAGAACTTTATGTAGTAGATTAAAGAAGGACTTGACCTTCATTAGGAGATAGAAGATATCACTCCACTTTATGGATAAGAAGTTTGAGAATTAAGAGAAGTTAAAAATATGCTGAAACTACACAGAGAAATAGCAGGGAAAGGATTTGCATCCCGATATTTTTACTCATGTTTTATTTTGTTTTTTTTTTTCTTTTATGCTGTGTTCCTAAGAGACTGGTGGCTAAAATACTGTGCTAGTTTCCACTTAAAATATAATCAAAAATGAGGTTACGTTTTAGGATTATAATTCCACCAGTGCCATTAAATATCTGTAATTCAAGACAAATTTCTTAATTTCTCACGGCCTCAATTTGTTTATAAACAATTTGACTACATTATCTTTAAAATCTCTTCTAACTTTAAATTGCTCTTGAAACAGTTAATTTTGTACAAACCTGAGCTCTTTGTCTCCCTGTATTGAAGAAGAAAACCACAGACAAAAAGGAAGTTAGAATGTTTATTGGAAATAAGAAGACTAAAGCTCCTGCTGGATGCCCACCATCAGGGGATCCGGAAGCGGAATTGCCAACGTGTCCTCCTTGTTTTGGCCTTGTATACAAAAGCAGAGTTGTTTTAAACAGGTGGCTTTGTGGGTTTAAGGTCTAAAGGAAATCATTTAGCTAGTTCAAAGAAAGCCAAGTTCAAAGGAAAGGAAACCCTCTACTCTGCATTTCTAAGTTTTTCCAAGTCCAGCTGAGAGGTTAGGGAGGAGCTGTCAACTCACTTAGTATATCTTCTTCTTGGGAGGAAAATCCTTGTCTCTTCTCTTATTTTAACTCTTACCCTTGTGTTTACCCTTGCATTTTTAAGCTCGACTAGTTGTATGTTTTGAATTAGCTGTTAACTTAGCATGTGTACTATTTTCTTTGTATTTAACTGACTATTTTAGGCCCATTCCAGGACACTCTGACTTAAAATATTGAATTAGTTAAAAAAGATTGTACAAGTACAGTCGTTCATTTGTGCAATTATTCAGCAAACATTAAACTTTTGGGTGAGGCACTAGAAATGCAAACACAAATAGAATACAGCCACTCCTATTTTGGGAAACCTTGCAGTCTTGTCTAAGGAAACAGCCATTTGAATAAAGTATTATAGGTGCTTTGATGCACTGTAATCAAAGTATTATATAGAGGAGTACATGAAGAAAAGAGTGGTTGTTTTTACCTTGGAAGGGTCAGAAAAGGTTTTACAGAGAAAGTTAGCTTCAGTGTTAATTTTGAATATTAAATAGTTGTTCCTGCAGAAGATTGAGTCTGGACCCATGTGTCTCACCACACACTAATCTAAAATCAAAATGGATCAAAGAACCAAATACTAAAATAGAAACGCTTAGCATGCTGAAAGATAAAATAAGTAAAATTCTTGAAGGTGTAGGCAAGGACTTTCTGAACAGAACCCTGGTTATATAGGAAATAGTACCAAGAATCAACAAATGGAATCCTACCAAATTAAAAAGCTTCTGTGCAGGAAATGAAACAACCAACAGAATGAAAAGACAACCTACAGAATGAGAAAATAATTTTGCCCACTATTCCCCAGACAGAAGACTAATATCTAGAATATACATAACTCAAGACAACTAGAGCCCCTAAATTAAAATACCCAGTCAAAAAATGAGCAAGTGAAATGAAAAGACACTTTACAAAAGAAGTACAAATATCCAATAAATACATGAAGAAGTGCTCAGCGTCACTGGCCTTTGCAGAAATGGGAATTAAAATAACATTGAGAATCTATCTTATTCCAGAAAGAATGGCTGTTACCAAGAAATCAGATAATAAATGCTGGAGAGGCTACAGGAAAAAAAGAAACCTTATTGTTGGTGGGAATGTGAGCTAGTACAACCACCATGGAAATCAGTGTGGAGATTCCTCAAAAACCTAAAACTAGAAATTCCATTTGACTCCACTATTCTCCTTCTACATACCTTCCCAAAGGAGTTAAAGACATCATATTACAGTGATACAGCATACTCATGTTTATAGCAGCCCAATTCATAATAGCTAAATCTTGGAAGCTGCTCAGTGCCCATCAACAGATAAATAGATAAAGAAAATTTGTTATTTACACACCATGGAGTATTACTTTGCCATAAAGAAGGATAAACTTGAGTCATTTGTAGGAAAATGGATACATCTTGAGACCATAATGTTAAGTGAAGTAAGCAAGACTCATAAGCTTAAGTATCACATAGGTCTCTCTTATATGAAAAAACCAAATTCTAAATAACAAAATAAAAGATAATAGTACATAAGGAGATCTTTCTCAAAGGGGAAGGGGACAAGAGATGAAGAGAGAGGGGGAAGGAGAGGTGAAAAAAGGAATTAAGTTGTGTTATTGGGGGGGTTGAGGTTTTTTTTGGTACCGGAGATCGAACTCAGGTCCTTGCGCTTGGATGGCAGGCACTGGAACCACTGAGCTAAATCCCCAGCCGTAGGGTTGGGTTTTTTTTTGAGAAGGGTCTCACTATATAGTTCAGACTGGCCTTGAACTTACAAAGCCCAGGCTGGATGTGAACTTGCAGCCATCCTCCTGCCTCTGCCTCCTGAGTGCTGGGATTACAGGCAGGCACCACCACACCTGGCTTAAGATGTATTATAGTATTTAGTTTAGTTATTATGAGTTAGGTAGTGAGAGGGGCCTACAATAGGGTCAAGAAAAATAGCCCAGCCAGGTTAAGAGTTTCTCAGGAAGCTAAGCCAAGCTTAGGGTTGCAAAGGGAAACATAGCAAAGGATGAAAGGCTGCGATAAGAATAGAGGAAAGGACTCTTCCACAGTAAGAAGACTCTTCCAGGGCTTGCTAACAGCTTTACCGCTCCTCCTTACCTCTGAACCTGGACTCCAGAACACCTTAGAATGCAGGGTAATGGGTTTCTCTTCCCAGTCTTTGGAACTCATTTCCTTTAAACGAGCTTCCTGTGCTCTGCCTGTTTGTAGAAGGCCTAGTTGGAGAATATATGTTAGATGTCTTCCCCTCTGGGTGGGGATCCACCAAGTACTTTTCTTCTTATTTCTAATAAACACTCTCCTAAACTTCTTTTGTCCTCAAATTTATTCTTCGATTTTGGGAGACAAAGAACTTGGGTTCATACAAAATGAACTGTGTCATTCAGTACATGTACCAACTCCATACAAAGAATGTAAGCATGTACTGCAAACGTGCTAATAAGGATTTAAAAATTAATGCTAAAAAAAAAAACCTTCCTTCATCCCATATTCTTTCTGTGTGCCATCCTGTGCTGTAGAAATTTTCTGTATTTTCTAGACTTCCGTAAAGCAGAAAAAAAAAAGTAGGTGTCCTCTTGGACTTGTCAGGGAAAAATGTTCAGTTCATTTCGTGTTTATGGAATGCCTAGTGCACGCCAGGCACCGTACTAGACCATGTTAGAGCATAGACACTCAGTACACAGTCTTAACCAAACAAACTCTGGTGACAGTGATCAGCATAATAGAATATCCCAGTACTGTGTCACGGTGAATGATGGTCACCAGAAGCGGAAGCGCTGTAGGAGCTCCAGGCTGAGTGCTATGTGCACACTGCAGGACCATGGAGAGCAGAGGCGGAGCTGAGGTCACAGCCGAAGGCTTCCATGAGCTGTGGTCTCACCCTGAAGGGCAGTGGAGGCTTCTCCAAGTGTGAGCGTGAGCCAGTGGGCTCTTGAGCCAGCAGCATCAGCGCTCACGCTTGGCCCCGCCCCAAAGCTGCTAAATCAGACTCTGGGAACGAGGCCCAGCTATCTGTGTTTTATGTCCTTCAGATGATTCTAAAAGTTTCAGATAAAAAGTTGGTTTTTCTTTAAACTGTGGTAAAAATGTATACCACAAAAGTTATCATTGTGACCATTTTAAAGTGTACAATTCAGTGACATTCCCCAAAATTTTTAATGAATGGAAAGCTGTTGAGAGAGAGCCTTTACTTATATTATTCTGTTGACAGTTGGAGAACAGTGGCTTCTGAATGGAGAGGACAGGGTTTGCAGTGCTCTGCTTGGGTGACAGCTTAGGACTGGGATTGGTGGTGGTGGTGGGGAACAGGGGTAGCACCCTGAAGGGAAAGGAGAGCCTGGGGAGGCAGAGTGGGTAGCAGAGGCATCTTGACTCAGCTGCCTGTGGGACATCAAGCAGAAACATAGCTTAGAAATAGAAATACAGATTGGAAGATAGTGTTGTGTAGATGGGATTGAAAACAAAGGGATAACCTTTACCTGTGGTGTTAGTGTAATACATTATGTGTGAAATGGGCCAAGGATGGAACACAGAAAACAGAAGAAATGTTTGCAGCCAAAAGAAGACTTTGATGTTATAGATATCAAGAAAGTGAGGAATTTCTAAAAATACAGTTTGATCAACATCTCAAATGTTACATTTGGGTTCAATGAGAAAGAAAGCTGAGTGTATTGCTAATCCACCTCTAATTCCAGCACTTGGGAGACTGAGGCAGGAGGATTGATGCAGATTTTGAGGCCTTACGTGGCTACATAATTAGACCTTGTGTCAGAAAACCAAACAACAAAAATAAATTAACCAAGGCATAATGACACAGGCCAATAATCCCAGGACTCTGGAGGCCTAGGTGGGAGGACCCAGTGCTGGCAAGTTAGCACCTCAGTAGACCCTGTCTCAAAATAAAAAGGCCTGGGGATATAGTTCACTGTGAAGGCATGTGTTCAGTTCCCAGTACTGGAAAATGTAAAATAAATGGTGTTGATTAAAAGGTTTTGTTATGACCTAAGCACGAGCAGTTTTACAGAGTGAGTGAGGTTATAAATCTTACTATAATGGGATGTCAGCAAGCCGAGAAAGCTGATAGAGCCTATGAGGGGGTTAGCTTAGATTTTCAGTAATGCCACATCAAATACCTGGTAGCTTATCTTTTTTGTACTATTACTCAAAATTCTGACTCCCTAAATATTTTCCACACTAATTTTAAAAGATTGGAAGCTGTCATGTTGATTTGGATCTTGTGCCTTTCTCTCTAGGTGTACTGTTCTGTGTAGGGGGGCGAGGTGGATCTGGGGACCCTTTTCGTAGTATTGAATGCTATTCCATCAACAAAAACAGCTGGTTCTTTGGACCAGAAATGAACAGCCGGAGACGACATGTGGGTGTAATCTCTGTGGAAGGTGGGTCTACTGTTGCCTAAAATCATGTTATGTGATCATGGTGTTCTTTTTAAATATTTGAACTTTAAGAATTTCTTCTAAGAAAACTGACAAATTGTAAAATACTTTTTAGTCTATCAGTAAAATATTTGAGTAGTGATTATGAAAGCTTAATATCGGCCAGGGATTTAGCTCAGTGGTTCCTCCACCTGCCTCTCAAGCCCAAGGTCCCAAGTTTGATCCCCGGTACCAAAAAAAAAAGCTTAACATTGGTTTTCATTTGACTGATGGAGTGACGTTGATCATACTTTTGAACAGAATGGCAGTTGTTGAAGATTAATTTATTATGGCATCCTAGTTATGTGTTTATGTATAAATAACATCAGTGTTGGTTGGAATCAAACTAAAATGCTTGTCCATTTGCAGGTAAAGTGTATGCAGTGGGGGGACACGACGGCAATGAGCACTTGGGCAGCATGGAGATGTTTGATCCTCTCACCAATAAATGGATGATGAAGGCCTCGATGAACACAAAGAGGTAGATCCGCACAGACTCTTCTTCTGAACTGATGCTAGAAAATAAAGCTGCATAAAATCAAAAGCTCTTGTTCTGAAATTGTTTTCTAATTTTAGAAACTTTACCTTCTCCAGCATTTGTTAAAGTACCCAAAGTAAAGGTTTGCTACAACTTTTTATATTTTTTAGGAATGGAATCACATAATGGTCATTACTTTTAGTTGCACTTAAGCATTGCTGTTTTAGAAACTTGTTGTTTAAGAGAGTTCTACATTTTTAAAATGTTTCACCAAAATAGTTGAGTTCCTAGGTCCCAGTGTTTTCCAACGGGGGATGATTTTGTCCTCTGTGGAATACTGAGTGGGATCTGGAGACATCTTTGATTGTCATAGCTTGAGGGTACACAGGCTGTAGCTGGCATCTAGCAGCAGGGACAGAGGTAAAGATGCTGCTGAGGATGCCACAGTGCACAGGACGGCCCCTACTGCAAAGACTTTGCTGGCCCTGACCCCTGTCACTGTGCCATGGTAGAGGGTGCACCACATATGCCCTTCACCCAGATTCCTGTGATGGTGACCTCTCCCACAGCCATTGTATACAATTGAAGTTAGCATTAGAGTTACAGTGATGCTAATTAATCTGTAGACAGTTTCAAGCTCTGCCAGCTTTCCCACACCTTCCTCTGCTTCTGATTGCTTTTTTTTGTCTAATCATATTACCTGATAACTTAATACAGTGTGAATTAATTGAAGAAGCTGTAGGTGTTTGTTTCTGGTCTTAGTGGAATGTCTTTAGTGTTTCTCTGTTAAATAAGATACTAACTTTAGGACTAAGGCACATACATTTTATCATGTTATGAAAACATCCCTTAATTTCTGTTTTCTTTAATTACTTGAACATGAACATTAATATATCAAATTCTCATCTACAGTAAATTGAAATAGTTTTGGTAAATAGATCAACCTAAAGGGGAGAAGATTTTTAGTTATGTGATTTAGCACTCTAACCTGTCCAATATTTTTACTAATGACTAGAATATCAAATTTAAAGGTGACAGGATAACTAATAACATGAACCAAGTCGGGATTCAGAAAACAGACTCTGCTGGGGGCATACCTCAGAAGTAGAGGGCTTGCCTAGGATACCATAAAACAGCAATGAAAAAGTAGGCCAAATGTACTGTAGGCAAACCTAAGAAACATCAAAATTAGAGTAATATGCTAAAACCTACTGTAGATTTTTTTTTTTTGGTACCGGGGTTCAAACTTGGGTCCTTGCACTTGCGCAGCAGGCGGCAAAACCATTGAGCTAAATCCCCGGCCCTGTAGATTTTTTTTTTAAATCAAGTATACCAGTATAGCATGATGAGAAATCAGATTTGTCATTATGTTTCACATGGAGAAAAGCACCTGAGCTTTTAGAACAAGGGAGATTGTAGTCATGATGTTCTTCCAGCTGGTCTCTCTGCCTCTGCATCTGTAGACTCATGTGGGATGGGTGACATGAGTTGGGATGTGGGAATAAAAGATTAGACTCTATACATTTTAGCAAATTTGTTTTGGGTGGATATTTTATCATTCACCTAATATGTTAAAACAGTAATACATGTTTGTAAGTTGAAAATAAGGTATATGGGGAATGCACAAACATTGATAGATACATGCTCTAGAGTGGTGACATGCAGTGCATGGAAGTAAGGAAGGCCAGGTTAGCAAGACACCTGAAAACCACGTCTCATACAGATAGCTGAAGGGTTTGGATCCAGAGATGAGAGGATGTGAAGGAGAAACTGGGCATTTTAAGGGGTATACATTGTTTTAGTGGGAAGGAATAAATGTTTGTTTCTAATTTACTGTAACAAACAGCAATGGAATATACTGTAATTCCACCCACTGATTGGAATTGTATGTTAGAAACCTCTCATATGCATTTTCTTCTAAATGAGAGATTAAATTACCTGTTGCTTTCCCTTTTCAAATTTAGAGATTTGAAAGGCTGAGTATAATAATTGATGTCACTGGATAGACTATCAACTGCAGTTCTGTTAAAAGAAACAAGCCAAAACTAACAAACCTTAAGCTCCTGCATTGTGGCTTGCATGGTTTGCAAATTTAAGCAGCATTCTATAGGAGTTAAAAATGATTTGTCATCAAACTAAGAAGTTTTTAGGGCTGGCATGTAGCTCAGTGGTGGGATGCCCTCAGTTTGATCCTCACTGATTAAATATCCCCACAACAGAAAGCAATTTTTAACAGTACTACAAGAGAGTACCTTGCCTGCCAGTTTTCTGTTCTTAAGTAACAAAGTTGTTTTTTCACTAGATGTTGTTCATGTATGAAAGATTACATACAAATTAAAAGAGAGCTCTGCTAAAAATATTTTTTGCCTTTTTTCTTCTCATGTGAAAGACTCCTGGAGAAAAAAGCTAGTCCTAAAAAATACTGTTGTCTCTCACTATCTACAAATAACATTTTAAGACTTTAACAAGGCTTGCTTTATACTACATGGTAACTACAAAGAGTTTAAATTTTAATGCGTATATTAAAATGAGGTGGGGAAGGGTCGGGGATTTAGCTCAGTGGTGCCGCCACCTGCCTCGCAAGCACAAGGTCCCGAGTTTGATCCCCAGTACCAAAAAAAAATTTAAATAAATAAATTTTTTAAATGAGGGGGGGCTCCCAGAGTACATTTTTAATCCTT